TAGGGGTAAAAGAGACACTGTCTTTCCACTGCCCTCCCGTTGTTTGTCGATTTGCTTGAGCGGGCCCAGTAACATCTCCATTTTGAGACTTGTTCGTACTGTGTTTGGCATATTGAATACATCACAGGGAGCTTGCCAGGCTTTGCTGTGCAGGCAAGATACTCTCAGGAGGTTGCTGGGCTCTCTGAGAGGGGTGGAGGAATCAAACCCAAATCAGCCGGGCTGGCTGCACGCAAGCCAAACACCCTACCACTGTGCTATCGTTCCATGGGGAAAAGAGAAATGACCTTAAATGACAAACTTTTTTTCCCCTTCTTTTTCATGTAGGAGTACTACTATTTACCCAGCCACTGATCAGCTGACTGAATTGGGCATGAACTCCACCTTACTTTTTCTTTTTTTTATTATTTACATTGTTATCCATTGAATCACTGTGAGAGCAGTCACAAAGCTTTTGGGTTTAAGACTCGGTCACAAAATGAAACACCCATACCCTCACCAGTGCCCATTCTCCACCACCAAATACCCCAGTATACCCCCATACCACACCCTCCCCTTACCTGTGGGGCAGATGATTTCCACATTAACTCTCTCTCTACTTTGGTCACATTCAACATTTTGACACCAGACCCACCATTATTATTTGGGATTTTACCCCAACACTCAGATCTGCTGAAATGACAAACTTTACGTGAAAACAGGAGACATTTAAATCAGTAACGGAAATGCAAAGGAAAATCAGGCTACTGAGAACAACTCTACACCAACAGATATTGAAAAATAGATTATGGGTGAAAAAAGGTTTTTAAAAGATCCATTACTTCTAAGTTTTATCAGTCAGTCATGAAAAATCTCCCAGCAAAGTGAAGCCCAATAAAAGGTAGCTTCGATGATGAATTTTACCAAATATTTGGTGAGACCTGAAGCTTTACTCCTGTTGCTCAAATGCCCAGCTCTCAGTTCCACCAGCTTCCACCAAAAAAAATCATCTTGGAGTGAAGATCTCAAGATTAGACCAGCATCTACAAAACACACTGAAGAAAACATATAAAACTATTTTGGATAGGGACTTCAGAAGTGTTATTAGTGATTCCACTGGACAAAGAAATCAAGAGCAGAAATAAACAAATGGGACCACACCAAACTAAAAAGCTTTTGTATGGCAAAAAAAAGAGAAAAAGGCTAAAATTAAAAGATATCTTATTGAGAGGGAAAAAAACATTTGTAACCTATGCTTTTGATGAAGAAATTGATATCCAAAATATATAAGACTAAAAAACCAATAACTCCATAAAAATAAAGATTGGTCTATAGTTACTGATGGCAACATGTATGTCCTTAGGGGTGATGCTACATGGAACACAGGATGAAAACCATATCGCATGAATACTGTATTTACATGGAAACTACATGGAACTACATGGAACTACATGGAACACAGGATGAAAACCATATCGCATGAATACTACGCCTGTACGTCATTTGCAAACACACCCACACTGAACTTTACTTCCCCCAGTACACAGGCACCGTAAACTCCTAAAGAGGCTCAGAAGGAAAATGACGGATGCTGACGCTTCACCCTCACCCTTTTCTGTGTCCTGAAGGGGAAGCAGTAAAAGCTTCCGTGACTGGCTACTCCCAGGAGAGGATCAAACTGCAGTCTTCTCTGTGCCCATACAGCATCTTCCTCCTCGCTGAGGTTTCTCAAGACTCTTTCCAATTGCTCTTTGCTCGCCCTTTTGATAGCAGACATATCCTCCTCTGACAAAGTCCTGGTGGGGTAAAGGAACCAGAAGTAGCATTGTCCCGGTACCAGAACTGCCCAACACTATGGGTTCTTCTTGTTTGATGGGTTCGATGTGCTCACCTCTAATCCAGCAGATTGCTTCCCCAAATAAACAACACAAAATCCTTGTCTCTACCCACTAGCCTTTCTAGTGCTCTCTTTGAAACTAAGGTGCTTGAACTGTCAGAGGTCTGGGATTGCAGCATCTCACTCATGTGCTTGTGTGAAGCAAGGACTGAAGCACCATTGGTCTCTGAAAAACAAGTATCTGTGTCAAACAGTATCCTGGAAAAAGAGCAAACACTTTACAAACTAAAAAAATACACCAAAAGTGTAGTTCCATTGTCAATTTAATTTGCTCAACTAAATCTGACCTTTTTGGATCACACCCAGTGATGCTCAGGGGATACTCCTGGCTCTGCATTCAGGAATCACTCCTGGCAGTGCTTGAGGGACTGTGTGGGATGCCAGGGATTGAACCTGAGACAGAAGCACTCGAGGCAACACCCTACCTGCTGTCCAATCACTCCGGTCCCCAGATTTAATATTTTTATGTTTGCTTAACTCTTACATCTCCTGCCAACTTAGGTACCAACTGCACCATAATTGGGCATTCAGGTAATGATGATTTCATTACTCTTCGTCAACAAAACTGTTTCATTTACTGAAAAGTGCTGAAACACAGATCTTGGTTTCTAATTCTTTTAGGAAAAGAAAAGTGAAGCTCTGAGGAGATGTGTTAGCACTAGTACATTTTCCCCATGTACTGCTGTGACCTGAGACACTTCTTGCTCTAGGAATAAGGATTTCAAATTAGGAACAACTTTTGGCTGGCTTTTGCATCACTCCAAACTGGCTCACAAGGCAGCAGAGGTTTGTTTTGGTTTGGTTTTCAGCCACACTGGCTATGCTCAGTAATTCCTTCGCACTCAGGAATTACTCTGGCGGTACTCAGGGTACCATCAGGAATGACTGTGATGGAACCCAGGTTGGCCACGTGCAAGGCAATCACCCTACCCCGCTGCACTATTGCTCTGGCCCCAAGCAGCAGTTAGATTCGTCCCAGGAGTCCTTTACCTCCCTGGCGCTCAGCATCCAGATCCGGAAACGACCTGGCGTAGGTGTGCGGCAGTGCCCACAGCCTGGGGGAGACGCGCCCCTGCAGAGAGCTGGAAAGGGCCACGCACCACTCTGTTGATCCCGACACAGGCATGGGTGCGAATATCCCAAAGGTGTAATGATTCCCTTTTGGGGCATCATTACAAAAGGTGTAATGATTCCCTTTTGGGGAATCATTACACCCATAGCCTGTAGGACGTTGGCGGCTGCAGACCCCGCGAGAGATGCAGGTGCGCGTGCGTGTCCGTTACCTCTAACTGCTTAGAACTGACCCAGGACAGCCCCGACGCGCGCGCACCTACTGGCCACGGTGGGTGGTAACGTCCGCCAGTCACGCGCAAGCGTCTCCATAATTATTGGTGGCTTTTCAGGACACAGCAAGGAAGCAAACATAAAGCCTTGATTGATGCCCGAGGACAAAGTTCAATCTCAAAATCCATCTCATGAGGAATCCTTGGCTGAAAATCAAGTCTAGGTTCTTCGTGACCGAAGTGGAAGTCCCAAGAAATGTCTGGACTTTCCTGTGTTTCCTGTGTCCAACATCGTTTGGGGAAGGATGTTCCTGATGTTGATAGAATTCTTATGACTTGGATATCCCTACTGAACCAATGTAGAGTGCACAGAGCAGCTGCTGGGAACCGTCCAGAGATCGGTGTCTGCAAAGGCAGCCTCGGTGCTGCAGAGAATGGAATGATCTGACGGCTATGGACGTAGCAGGACATTCCCTCCATAGCGACCAAACAGTGCAATGAATGTTGGATTTAAATGCATAATCCCAAAACCTTTCAGACTGAGAGTTTGGGAAGATCTTATAAATTGTTCCAAAATTAGACTGAAAACTCTCTTTCTTATAAACACTGGAGAAAAGAGTGTAGAGGAAATCTGAACTCAGGGTTTCCCAACCATGGAAAAAATTATGTAGAAGGTAACTTTGTTGAGGATCTGAATATTGAAGTCAGTTGCACATCCATTCTTCTCCACTTCCTAATTCAGACCTCCCTATTCCATCGGCCACTGAATTGCCAGGCAGTGTAAGGATTCAGTTAGGAATGGCAGAAGTTTGTGCTGTGGGGATGGAGTCTCCTAAAGGAGAGAGAAGCCGTTTAAACAATATAAAGAAATCACTGCACATGCCAGCGGGTAGAACATACATGTACTTTTAACCAGAGAGGAAAACAATTATGAGTTCATAAAAATGGGATCCTTTTTGGGTTTCAGCAAATAGTGCATGTCTAGAAATATGTTAACAACAGAATACCAGTTCTGTGTGGGAGAGAGCATTGTACTAATCAGAGAAAGTTGAAGGGAACACCCAGCACTGCATTAAACACACATCATTGAGCCTTTGGCAAAACTTAGCTTTGAACAATGAAAGATATTCCTCAATTCAACATTATATTTAGGAGGCAGATCATCCATAAAATGAATAGCAAATGCAAAGAAGTAAGTTTGAGTCTGGTCATTGTCTCAACTTGAGGCTTCATGGCTATTCCAGGAAGGATAAGAGCTTCCAATAGAAAGAAACTTTGAAAATGTTGTCAAACCTGCTAGACAAATCTACATTACTTTCAGTCCTAGGGACTGGACCCTAATGAATGATCAGGAAACAAACGAACAATAAAGCAAAACCCACTGCATTTGCTGGGGGAAACTCCTCTCAAATTGTGACCTCCATGGTTCACAAATCACTAATGACTGAATTTTTCAAAGAAAGAGTAGCCTCTGTTGAAGTAGGTCAACAGGGAGAGAGGAAGGAGAGAGATTTGAGGGGCACACAACTAGACTGGTGGATAAAGTATTGAGATCCAGCAAAGACCAAGCCAACCTGTGTGCTGAGAATGGGGAAACTTTGTCTAAGTTGCTAGAAGAGGCCATGTGAGCAGCGCTGCCGCTGACCAGTTTGAAGGAAAGATCTGGTTCTGGCCCTCCAGTCAGAGCCCTTCATGGAATGTTTCCCCTGCCAGGCCCTCCTGGCCCTCCCCTCCCCCACTGCAGAATGTCTTGGCCCAACATTCTGAGGTTTGAATCCAAACCTCTCCCTCACCCACTCGGATCCTGAGCATCTGCGTGAGCAGTTCACTGTCTGATACAGGTCCTGCCTTTTGCCATTGTGAAGGCTGATAAGCTGTAGTGGCCTCTGGCCTCGTCTACGGGGATGGCGTCAGAAGGAGGTAAGCCTGTGAGGGTGTCTGTGTATGTGAGAAAGTCTCTGCCACCTTGAAAGCCTTTGGGTTCAGAGTTATCCTGACTGGGGACACCAAGTTTTGAAGGGGTAAAAGAGGAGAAAGGCCTGGGCTCCATAGATAGCTCACCTGCACAGCAATGGGAGCCCAGGAGGACCTGAGGGGACTGGGAGGGCATCCGTGGAGGTGTGTCAAATGACAGGGGGAAGGTCATGGGTATGGACAGAGGGAGGTAGCAGGCATATTGTTGCTTTGTGTGTGAGTGTCCCTGCTTGTGGATGGGGGAACAAGGCCATTTGTCGTGTGTATGGAGGGTCTGTTTGGTGGTGGCACAGGGAACACCGAGGCATGCTGAGTCCTTGTCCCCTCCTGTGCTCTAGAATAAGTTTAGAAGGATTTGGACTTGGGCTGAGCTCAACCTGATGTGGGCAGCTCAGCAGAGATGGTCCAGCCTGAACCTTGTTGAGTGAGGTTGTCTGTGTGCACTTCTGCCATGATGCGTCCACTCCAGAGCTGGGCTACAAGTGGCTAACTGCCACAGTCAGAGCCTGACCCCCCTGCGGATGGGAACTCTCTCCTGGCTGAGCCCAGTAGCTGTCCTGGGTCAGCAGACTGGGAGACAGGTGACTTCAGCGTAGTTATGACTCAGACTCTTGAGTTGTTCTGGATTGTTCTTTTGGTGAAGTTTGTTCTTCCATGGTCTGGCATTTCATGGGGACCAGTCTGCATTTGAGCTCTGAGGTGAAGAATGATTGGTAATCACATCCCCCCTCATACCCTAGAGGGGGGTAGAGATGAATGTGTGTGTGTGAGAGAGACAGAGAGAGAGAGAGAAAGAGAGAGAGAGGGAGGAAGGGAGGGAGAGAATGTGTGGGGGTGTGTGAGGGGGTGTCTCTATGTCTGTGGGTGTGATTTGTTGGGTTTTCCTGAGTAAAGCCTGTGAAGGTCTGTTCCTTGAGGGGAGGTGGAATGTGCTGAGGCAAAATGATAGCATCCTCAGAGCAGTTGGAGCCTCAGGGCCTCTGTCTTGAGCGTGATGCACACAGGCTCTAGGGCGTCTCTAGGACCAGTCTCTGCCTGAATTCCTCGTGTGCAAGTATGGTTGCAGACAATTTTCTCTCTCCTGGCACCTGGTTTATGCCTGATGTTTAGGATCCTGTCACTGGGATAAAGTCTTAGATTATTTAGAAGATGTCACCAATTTTCAATCTACCATGACCACCAGCTCCAGAACTCTGGAAACCTCCCAGAGTCTGACTGGTGAAATCTCTGACCTTTTCCATCCTTGCCATCGTCCCTGATGGAACTGGCGTAACTCATGGAGCCCAGGACCACTTTCCAGGCCACTCTCGTGGGAAGAGAATGTTGGAGGTAGAAACTGTGACTAAGTGTTCGAGAGACAGGGTGGCAACACCTGCCAGTGTGGAGGGTTGACTGTGGGTTTACTGTGCACAGGCTAGGCAGTGGGTATTGTGCTCCTGTCTGGGTCCTGGGCACTTCTTGGGAAGAACACATTTTCAGAGGTGTTTGCCTTCTTAGTGAAGCAGGAGGCCCTGATGAGCCTACAGCCTGAGTAGACAGTCTGTCCTTTAGACTCTGTTGTCATGGGACCCTGTAGGTGCTGAGCACCTGTGGTGCGGCTGGTCCAGTCTCTGTGACTGACCCTGCAGGGTCTCTTGCCGACAGACCAGTGTGTCCAGGTACATGTTGGGAAGCTCCAAAGTGGCTGGAGGGCAGGGTGTGAGAGGTCAGTGTGGTCAGCACAGAGGCCATCCCAGGACACAAGGACCCTGGCCTTAGGATCTCCACAAAGCATAACGCAGTTGGAGGGGAAGGATGGCCTGTGTCAGCAACTCAGGGCTGAGACAGGGCATGCTGCCTCATTCCCATCAAAGGGCCTGATCTAGAGATGGTTAAGCCAATGAGGCACCGCTGCTCCCTGTACCATCCCCCTCTCATTCCCCCTCCCTCCTCTCCTCGGTGTCTTCAGGGTCGGGTCTTGCCCTTTCTCAATCCAGGGCCCCCCCAGCCACCACCCTGGGAGCCGATCCAGATGCCCCCTCTGGTGACCTCGACCAGCGTTCCCGGCAACCCTCTGGTGCTGTCACCTTTTCCCATGATGCCCGTGGTGGCAGGAGCTGCCGGTCCTGGCCCCCACAACCCTGGACATTGCAAGGTCATCATCCAGGTCAGCCCTGAAGTGGGGCTTGTGGAGTCATCCCAGAACCAGCCTGTCATCCTGACACAGGCTCCACTCAACTGGGGGACCACAGAAGCTCCTACTGCGGTGGCCGGGCATCCTGCACCACTCTACTTGGTGTCCTCTGGGCCGGAGACAATTATGCCCACCCCAGCTACTACTGTCACCCAGGCTGGGACAGAAGACCATCGTCCACAGGCTCCACTGCCAGTGGCCCAGGTGGCCCCCATCACCCTCCCATCCAGCAGTGGGACACTGACCCAGTGGGTTTGTGGGGACAGTGGTCCGGCGGCCACCCGGAGCCAGTCACCGCCTAAAAGCTCCAGAAACCCCAACAGCGTCTACGAGAACTTCCGGCGCTGGCAGCGCTTCAAGGCCCTGGCCCGGAGGTACCTTCCTCAGACTCCGGACACTGAGGCCCTTTCCTGCTTCTTCATGTGAGTCCCTCGGGGGTCCTAGAGCTAATGGGAGTTTCCCAGGAGGGGACTGGGGTGACACCCAGGGTAGGGTCCATGGGAGAGCTGGAGGAAGGATGAGGACCCTGTGCCCAGGGATAGCACATACAGGAATCACCCTCAGTGCATCATGGCCTATAGGACCGGTGGCCACACTGCCCAGCACCTCAGCACAGCCCCACTCACTGGCTGTACTCAGGAATGCCATCCTGGGGTTCTGGCTCAAAGGCCCGTAGTGACCAGCCATGCCCTAAGCCTCACCTCAGTCCCCTCATCAGGGTTGGTCCCGACCTGTGGTCTGAAGGGCAGACATTCCGTTCCCAAGACCAGACACAGCACAGATGTGACAGAATTCAGACAGGCCATGACTGCTCGGCCTTGGCGTCTCATGACGTATCCCCAGAGCTAAGAGTGGATGCCAGCAGGGCCACTGGACTGGGGTATAGGAGGCAGAGTCCACTCTGGGAGGGGAGATCAGGCCGATATCGGGGGTCAAGGCATGGGTGTGGGGCGGCGGGGGCTCCCGGCAGACGCAGAGCCTGACCGAGCCTGTTCTTGCAGCCCGGTGCTGCGCACCCTGGCCCGCCTGAAGCCCACCATGAGCCTGGAGGAAGGCCTGCACCGGGCCCTGCAGGAATGGCAGGGCAAGAGCAACTATGACCGCATGATCTACTACGACATGGCGGCCAAGTGAGTCAGGCCTGAGCAGAGAGTGGGGGTCAGGGTGGCTGCAGGCCCGAGCTTCAGGGGCTGGTCCCAGATGGCCGAGGGGAAGGGAGGGCTTGGCAGCCCCGGGAGACCCTTCCACTGCGGAAACTTGTTCCTCCCGGAGCTGGGACACTTTTCCCAAGCCCACTCTGGGGCTCCTGACCACAGTCTGAGGGTCACAGTCCCTGACCTCCTGTGACCCTCCAGGGCCAATGTGGGGGATCGCTGGGGGTGCTGGGGTCCGTGTCCACCCCATTCGCTACCCTCCTGGGGACTGGGCCATGAGCATCCCCTGTCCCTTACACATCCTGCTCAGTCCCGTTCAACCCGACTCATCAGGGCCTGTGTTCCCCACACCAGGTTCATGGAGTTCGAGGCCGAGGAGGAGATGGAGGTGCAGAAACTGCAGTGGACGAACGGGGTGCAGGGCCTGCCACTCCCCGCCCCACCCAGGCCTGGGCCTCAGGGGGCTCCAGGCCCACCGCCAGACCAGCAGACAGGTACGGACCCTGCTCCCAGCTAAGGGCCACAGGACCTGGGAAGGCCCTCGTGGGTCTTGACCTGACAGGGAGCCTTCACTCTCCCGATGACCCCCAGACCTGTGGTCAGCGGCTTCCTGTCCACTGGTTTCTCCCTCTCCTAGCACACCCCACGCTGCCTGAGGCGTCAGATTCACCTTTGAAGTGGGGTCGGAGACCCTGGGGACACAGTTGGTCAATCCTCCCGTTGAGGGTCACCTCATCCCTCACACAGTCACTGGATTCTAGGGCCCTGATCCAGCCTACAGGGACCCGTCCCCAACTCTGTGCTCAGTGCTGTGTGTCTGAGGGCATGGACGCGGGGTCCCCTCACATCCCTCTCTTCTTCCTTCCTCCTCAGCCTGTGTCCCCAAGAAGGCCAGACCCCAGGCCCGGGCAGCCCGCCCCAAGACACACAAACCTCAGCAGCCCCCCAAGTCCAAGGCCCCCGAGGAGATCCCTCCTGAGGCCGTGCAGGAGTACATGGACATCATGGACGAGCTGCTAAAGGCCCCCGACTCAGTCTGCAGGGCGCACCTCAGCCGACGGGCAGTGGACAGGGAGGAGCAGCAGGAGGAGGCTGGGACCTGCCCTGACCCGGGGCTCCTGAGCTATGTGTACGAGCTGTGCTCCCAGGAGGCCTTTGTCACCAAGGTGGGCCTGGGGTCTGGCCTTCTTGGGGACACAGGCTGAGGAGGAAGGAAGAAGAGAGGGATGTGAGGGGACCCCGCGTCCATGCTGCTGTGGGGTCGGGAGGGGGCAGGGCTGCTTCTGTCTAGGGCTTGGCAGTGATGTGCGGTCTCTGCTTTGAGCTCTGTGTGTAAATGCACACCTGTGTTTAGATATTTCTGCTTGTGTTTGTGCGCATGTGTGCACGTGTGTCTCTCTGTGTACAAGCATTGGCTCTTTCTGTGCCTTTTTGGGTTTGGTCAATGTGTGAACATCTCTGTGTCTACCTCTGTGTGTACTGTGTGGGCTCTGTGCAGACACGTGCAGATACATGTACATGTACCTAGAGGTGGAAGAGTGTGTGTCTTTGTGTCAGGTGTTTGCATGAATCCATGTGT